TCAATCACAGACTCAAACCATATCGGGAAAGCGTAAAATAGAACATTCGAATCATTTAGCCTAGTGTTTTTAAAAACAAACGTCTTTTTTGTAATAATAGGACAGAGAACTAGTATTGAATATCGTCGTTTTTTAGAGCATTTTATGTACGATGCTTTTCACAAGTGGCTTTAAATAGATTGTCTGGGTAGCCTATTTGTTCATTTTTTTGGTCTCAAACCCTCCTCTTTGCTAGAAAATACGAGACCCTTTTCAGCTTGTTCAGTGCGCGGGTTTTACGCGTATGTGAGTAATACTATCCGTTGACTTTCAGTAAACGAGCGGTTTTTGGTGAGTTGTAAGGTCTGTATCCAACAGGCAAACAATTAGAAAAATGCCAACAAGTTGCTGGACATGTTCTGGAAATATAATCGTATCTATGATGCTGGGCTCTGCTTTCTAGCAAAAACTTGGCTGTATTATTGGCGAACACATGTAGAAGGGTTATATAGAGAAAGCAGAGAACCTTAAATGTGGCTATTTTCTGTCCTTGACACTGGCGGTAACAATTACACATAGCGGAATTAGTATACCAGCAAGTCTAGTCATTTTAATTATTGATGTTCTTCATGCGATGCATCAATCACCCAGCACTAGTCATCCATTAATTATTTACTATATTAGAATTTAAAATACATCTTACACTAGTCGATAATTATTTAAATTTTTGGTGGAGGCTTTTCGAATTTCCAAATACGTCCTTATATGCACTACAGTATTAAGGATCTACTTACAAAAAAGGCAATGATATTCAATACAAGATACAACGGCCTGGGACGACCTTTTCCCTCGACATCGTGACGAGCTATGATCTAAACGACTTATAGTATCAACAGTCACCACGTCGAATGGCTGCCACTTTCCGGATTGTATAATCGTTGCCGACCCTGAATTCAGGCCATGCGCGTATGTGTGCCTTTTCGCCTTCTATGAACGACGGACGCTGGTGGTAAATATAAGCCGGCACTATGGTAAGCGCAAGCCTTATTCGTTTACAATTGACTTTAAGTCTGTATTAGTATCTTCTTCCTCTAAAGCGAGTTTGACTCTGCGAAAGAGACTTCGCGCAACGCCAGAGTCGTAGTCTTCTTTTCTTCCACTATTATTTTCATTTCGAAAATAGAATTCTGACAACCCGTTTTTTCCAACTACACTTTATAGTTAAGTTGAGTCTGAGAACACATGCGAAGCAGATGTTTTGAATAGATCTTTTTTACTTCTGCCAGTAAAGTCAGGCAGGAAAAAAGAAGCCTTGATTTGCCCGTTCTTCAGCGCCTGCAAAAATGTGAGTGAGACATAATTGACGAAACGTTCTCCTATATCTCGCCGTCTTCTTGCACTAAACAATGACATTTATTTTCACGTGCATTCTGATGTTGGCCTTTATCGCGAGTTTTTGGTGTGCATCTATGCATATCTCGTCTAGCTGTCTATCTCAGCACCTACGTTTTTTTCGAAGTCTTCTGTACCAGCTCTATTTCAACATCGCACACAAAGGTTTTACGGTCTGCGGGACCATGCTCAAGCTACAAGCTTCCTAACGCGTACCTGTCCGTGACGCAAGCCCATAGCATTGCCTCTTTCTTTTGACAGATTTTCGATTTCTGACAATATATACCTGCCCCTAGAGCTTTCTATCGATCCCTTTTTCAATATACATACCACAAGCACGCACAGAAATATTGCACGTAGACAGGCGTCGGTTCGTCATTGCCGGTTCTTTAGTTACTGAACGAAGCACGCTTGAGTTCTTGGGTGCTTGTCGCGAATGGCGTCGATGTGTTCTTCTGAGTTTCATCCGCAGTGCTACGGCATATAGTTCACATTTAATTGTGACGTGAGTTTCGGTTCTGCACATAATTCTGCCATTCCGACGCAGGTGAACGTGTATGCAGCTTGGCCATTGGCTGTGTAACAACTGAATCCGAGGAAGGAAAAGCAAAGGAGATACCGTTCGGGCAAGCGTGTATACTTTGGCGGTCATGGACATTTGATTTTTGGCTCATCTATCCTGGACCGAGCTAATCGTCAAGTTAGAGTAGTTACGAATTGCGCTCGTTATGATACCCCGCCCCTACACCCTCATATACACTTGAGGTATGTACTTTTATTCTTACGACCGCATACGCTGAAACGAGGCGTGCTGAAGTTAGTGTGTTTACTTCGTGGTGTTAGCAAACAGGGCCCACAATTGAGAAACTAACCACCTCCATTATTGACGCTAACCGAAAGGATTTCTGGTGCATCTTCTTGGCGATGCTTTACTAGGTATTGCTGTTCCCGCAGCGCCGCTTACTATGCTTACACTAGGCACTAAGAGGAGGAGAATGGAAGACCACGCCGCTGCCAGATACAGCTGTTGTGCCACATTTGAAGCTGGCCTTTTGCTCTTTCTCTTTCTGAAGATGGCAGAGGGCGCAACACAGGAGAGGGTCCAACTATGGGGGAGGGTTGCAGGAGGAGTAGTCCTCTGCGATCAATGGCTGGACGAGGAGGCAGCGCCAAGCATGCAAGTGTCTAAGGACCAGCAAAGAAGCAAGTTGTGGCGAGAGTTTGGTCATGTACGAATTGTGTTTAGTTGAGTGCGAGTACTGCGCGCGTTTGGAAGGCTGTCCTCGACTCCTTGAATCCATTTGACTGTTTAAGAGTATTCTATTGTACTGTATAATCGTAGAGTTCGGTCTCAGTTAATGATACTCCTTCAACGACTTGCTATATTCTAGCGATTACTACCACAGCTGCGACGATTTAACTCCCAGTCAGTCTTGTGACCATCCTCATCTAGTGACTATAGGCCGTCGTAATTTTTGCTATTGCTGTGACTTGAACCCATCTCTCGCATCTTTATGAGATATAGCTTACGGTAATCGTCGTTGATCGCCAAAGGCTTCTTGTTTACCATTGCAACTAGCTGATACAATGATATCACTAGTACAATTGTTGTTCAGGCGAATTTTAATGACCACAAACAAGCGACGGTAGTGGGTCGTATACAGTAAAGGCTGTCGAGATTTTCATTGTATACAAAGCAGGATCGTGTTGGACATTGCAGACGACAGATACGGGTATAGTCGACGAGACTATGGATGCATAAGGCACGCGTCGGGTACACAATTGTTGCCCCTTGTGCAGTTATTAATGCTACAAACGCTTCTGGCACACTTGAAAGCTCTGCCGCTGCTGCTATCGCTGCCAGTGTTGCAAGATAATGTATTCCCTTAGTGTTGTGCCTATTACAAGGCCGCTGATCCCCCAGTCATGGTGACCTAGCAGGCCTACCGTTAGCCATGCAGTTCTGTCGCGCTTGTGTGGACGTGCAGCCAGCTCAACCGTGGTGCGTCGCCAAGGTGATACAGGCACAGAAGAGGGCTACGGTCACGACGAGCTCAACTAGCTTGCTTGGTTGATTTATCACAATGGAAAGTGGCAATGGATACAGCTCGACAGAGGATGCCTATACGATGTTTGCCACTGCTGGAATTGTACGACCTGCTAATCGCTAGATAACGGTAAGATTTGTTTTGATCTTTATGTTTGCTTGTTCGGTGCGCGTGTTTTAGCGATACGAGAGCAAAGGCGTCAAAAAAGAAGATGAAGAGCGAGCGGTCAAGAGGGACGAAAATATGAGGCTGTTACGTATGTATTCGATCACATTTATAAAGGGAAAGATATTATGTTTATAATTGTGGCTTATAAATAACGGTAGCGAGCCAGTGCTGATTATTTCTGCACCTAGCTAGCAAGGAGACTATATTAATCTGTGACTGGCGTGCGCGGAACTGTGACGTTTTGCACTGAACGTGTTCGCGATGTGTAGCAAATGCATGTAGCGGGCTCTAAGTAGAAGGAGCTATGCCGGGAGAGGCTATGGCTTCCAACTATGGCATTAGACTTACGAGACAAACGATTCGGTAATGAACACTGATCTTTCCAATAACAATTGGCCTACTCTGTGTTGGGCATGACTTCACTATTTGTTCACATATGCGCAGAATCGTTAAAAGTTTCTACGCAGTTGGCTAATAGCAGTTTTTTTTTTGCAGCAAACAAGCGTACCTACCGCGAGTGAAGAAAATTCGTTTGTTACAATTGTATAGCTAAGCTTTTCCTTCGATTTACATTATTGTACCAACGACTGCAGTTTTTTTTCATTCGATCAGACCTGCCTATACTATAATTCTTCAGTGTGCTTCATGTTCTTTTCTCTTGATAGGTCGAGTTCGCCCGTCCGATTTTACGGCCAGCCTGCTTGTTCGGTTTTAAGGTCTTAGCGCGGCCCGACGCTATCGATACCACTCGTCTTTGGTGGCAAAGGTCTGGTTCAGCGGTCGGTATCGCCGCTTACCAGTGGTTGCGTTCGTAAAATCTACAGTTGAGTGGACCGCAACAGGCATCGCGACGACCATTGGCGTCAATGCTGTTCCAGTAGCCCAGACTGGGATGCAGTGAGAGATATGCATAAAGGAATGAGAGGGACAATAGAAATAGTTAGAAGAAAACAACGTTGAAATACTGTATTCTACGAAGTAAGCATACATAGAGCAAGAGGCAGAGAAAAATCCGAGGTCTTCGGACAGACGGGGATAAAAAGCGCAGCGTACTGTATTTCTGTTCCGTGTTAACCTCTAAAAAATCTTCATCAATCAGTGTTGTTGTGATCGTGAAGATCAACAAGGACAAGAAGAAGTTGAGGATTTGGTGATCGCCTGCCCCAGGTGTAACCCGTGAGATAACGTGGCTAATGCCAGCCTGTTCCGTACCAACACTGTCGTTTTGACCCGCCGTAGCTCGTGTCGTGCGCCCATATCGAAGTTCATCTTCTTCATTGAAGCAGCCGCCTTTGGTTCAAAAAAGGGAAAACTGCGCGTCCGTGTCAATGAAAGTGTGAGAAGCAAAGACTACAGAGGAACACGACGGACGGAAATTTTAATTATATTGTGAACCACGAAAATAACGTCGGTTGCTTTTGCCAGCTGGCTGGTGGTTTCTGCAGGTTGGCACCATTCCCTCGATTCCTGCCACGTACCTCCCGACCCAGCCTCCCCCCGCGCTGCTGACGCCCAAGAGCCGCGACCCCCCGAACTCGAATTTGAACGCTACTTCCGGGCTCACCCCACAGCAGCTTCCCCCTCACCTTGATCCACGGCCCGTCCTTATACCAATCCTTAGTGCTATAATTTTTTTCCCCATTATTGCTTTCATCATTATCTGCGCACTTCGCTACCGAGCCATGCGACTCCGACGTAAGGAGCATAGGAAACGTCTCCGCGGAGGGTAAGTGTTAAGTCTGAACACGCAAAATAGATATAAACAAATATTTTAAGCTTTACAAGTTAAGACTTGCATACGGCGCGGAAACCGGCCAATATATACAGGTGTTGGATTATCTGTTCTGGGAAAAGTCCTCATATCGCGACGAAGAGCTGTGCGTACCATGCGTCTTAGCTGTCTTGTCGTCGGCTTCAAGGGAATGTTAGGAACAGCTTTTAAAAGTAATATAGGTCAGTTAGGCAGATCTCGTGAAAGATTGACACGCCATTATGTGTAACCATCTTAGGTGCAGTTATGGTGAAATCGAGAGATGACAGCTGTAGAAATTTCGACTGAAAAAAGATCACATACTTATGATACAATACCGCTAGATGAATCTGTGAAGAAGTCAGCTCTATTTATTCTGCAAACTTTTTTGCTCTCCATCGTTGTTGAGGTGCTGCATTTTCCATGTGTGTGTGTGTGTGCAGAACTATAAACTCTTTTTTCAGAGTAGATACAATGCTGCATAGATAACTTTATGTACTAATTGACACCATAATAGCTGATAAATAACAGATAAAAACTACGACTGCAGAAATTATATGCGAAGAAGCGGAAACTGTGGCACTATCCAATATACAAGATCTGCTATTTTTTCGGAAAACCATACATTATGTATTAGTGTTGTAGAAGGCAGCAAGACGAGGCGGGAGAGCTCTTGTCGACTGTATGCAACATGCAGAGTAAAAGTTTCAGCATATGCTAGCCTATGATGTCTTGCTTGCTTCGTTTTGTTTCCCAAAAGGACAAGGCCAGGCATTTATCCGATGGATATCACCCTGCAAGCCATATTGCTAGGCGAAGCACAGTACTCGACGGCTCCAATTTAATATGGTCCAGAGTATGGAAGAGTGCAGAAAAATGCGGGTGTCGTTTTTAAAGAGTTACTTTTGCAAAAAGCCATTGATTTTGTAGCAACATAACAGTTCGATAAATATACATTTTATCTCCAACCAAGAGTATTATCCTTTATTTGCACCCGCAGTTACACTTCTAATGCTCGTGTATTTTCCGTTGCAAGTAGCGCACTTAACTTTATTACATAATCAAATGGCTTAAGTTCTATTTATATTTTTACTAAAGTGTTACTATTCCGAAGGTCGGATATTGTCACGAAGTATTTGTCGTTCTTATCATCACTTTTTTTTAAAAATATCTCCAGAATGCTTCATGAGCTGGCTTTAAAACGAGGGCTTCAGAGTACGATACTCAAAACACCGCTGCTGTTTCACCTCTTACTTGCAGAACTTGGTTGATCTCAGAATGTTTAAATAGATAATTAATTCTAATGTGAGAAATTTCTGCACAGCATTCCCGCGAGAATTCAAAAACCGATCACAAAAATATGATATTATATCTAGATAATATTTTATGTAAAAGTGCAGTAGTAGCATAGTATGTGCTCAGAGTCGTCCTCAATCGTGAACCGATTCTATTTATAGTGACAGTGTGAAGCAAACATATAACAGGCACTTGTCGTTTTACATCGCTGAACAATCTCATAGCTATTCTACAAATTGACAAGCCATCCGCCGGATGAATAGGGATATGTTTCATTTGTCTATAGACCACTCGGTACGATTTGTTCGGTAGGACATTTTAGGCCGACCCAAGAAGAGCAACCCCGAATGCTAAACAATGATCCATATTGACTAAAAGCGATAACAAGAGACTAATCGCAATTTGTTAATTGTCTGTATAGCGGAAAGGGATTGCAATATGGCGGGAGCGGTGTGGAGACGAAGATAGCACACGAGAGAATATTTCGTTTTCTACCCTGAAATTGGAACATTAGCAACGATCGTTTCAACGTAAAACATAATATTAGCACGAAGCTTTAACTAAAAATCACGCTTCGCGCCCGCTACCTCGCTTGCACTAAATGATCGAACATCGACACTACGTACTGATGATGAGCTCAGGCTCAGATTAGCGATGCTCCCGCTCGTCCTCCGCTAAAAGGCGGATTTTACTGCTTTTTATTTTTTTAGAAAACACTTTACTAAGCATACGCAGCCTGTCCAAAATGAACGGAAATGAAAAAGTATATTTGTCGTCCTTTTTTTTCAAGGCACTGCAACTCCAGCAACTAACAGGCATAAGCTTGCTTGTTGCTAGGCTTTATTGCTAACGTATGAGTGACACAATTGGACAGAATAACCAATGAGTAATGAATCTAACATGCACTCGCACAATTGGACGTTTTTCATTGGGCCCCTGGTCGCAACCTCCCCTAAAAGTTCTCTGCAATTAGGTGAGATACGGAAACTTGTGGTGTCTTCGATCTCTCTCTCACTCTCTCTCTCTCTCTCTCTCTCTCTCTCTCTGAAGCAATGACAAAGCTCGAAGCGTGCCTTCTGTCGAAAACAACCGCTTTTCCGATTATTTATGTCTCTTCGCTTATGGCAACCTGTCAGTGTACAGTTATCCTTTGATTTAGCTCATTTCGACCAGAGTTAAGTAGCGAACATCCGACCTTGGCCGGATATAGAAGCAAAAGCGAGTAAAAAATCAAACAGGTGTAAGGTATCCGCATCGATCAGTAGCCGTAGGTTTGTTGCAGCCACACGTCCGAGAGACGCATACATTGTGAGGCCAATTAGATCGTCGAGTCCTCAAGCGCAAAAATGATGTTTTTTGACTTGCAAAAGTTCTTCTTCAAAAAGAGAAGGTTTTCCGGGAAGGATATATGTGACAAAGTAAGTCGGACTAAAATGGGTGCTGCTAGCCCATACCTTCTGCTAAAAGAAGTAGCGAGATACATGTTTGCGCTTGTTTGAATCTGTCCTTTGAGACCAATAAGTCCTCCGGCCAGCCGATAGTGCTGGGCCAGCGGCGAAACATAGCAGCAGGCACAGTCGGGCACACATTGCGAATCTGTGTGGAACGCAAAGGCGACGCGATAATGCGGCTTCTAGGGGCTGCGAGAGACAGCTCAAATCTATTCACCGAATAATAAATTGCAGAATGAAGAGATAATTACCTGGAATTAGAAGGTATATATACTCTAGATCCTTTTCCCCACTAGCTAAACAGTACTCGCAATGTATTACGCCCTGTAAAACCGTTCCAATCTAAGTAGACCGTATCAACTACTATACTACTGTTATGCAAAGCATGAAATCATCTAAGTGAGAGAGTATGACCCGTTCAATAGATAAATGTACGGTCAATGTGGAGGTATGGTGAGGCTGCAGGACAAGGACGAACTAGGAGATTTTCATCTCAAATGAGAGGAGACATTTATTTCTGTAAACATATGCATCAACTATTCGAACGTGTCCAGAATGAAACAACATTCATATCAATCACTTCAAGAAGATGGACATGGGAGGGACCTGTGTCTCTACAAAAGTTACCTCGACTAGTACTCGATCTGCATACGCATCGAATGTGCCTTGTAGAGGTTATCGTGCGGCAGCTTGTATGCGAAACGTTTTTGTGCGGAACGCGTTCAGGAAGCAAATGTACAGATCCTACTGCACGCTGGCTGTACTCTGAAAAGGGCCATGCAAAAGAATGCAGTCTTCTGACACGCGTACGAAGGAAATGGAACGGCTGTACCTAAAAAGAAACAGAGAATTTTTTCTAGCTGGTGTCTAAGTTATAAACAATAAGTTATCGAAAAATTTCACTAGAAGCGAGAATATAACACATCAAATAGGTGCGTTGTTCGAAGTGTACACATAAGGAAAAGGGTACTACTGATCAGAAGAACGACGATAGTGTGTAAAACGATATCCAGAAATCTATGCTATAATCAGACTCTTCACTCGTAGTACAAATTTCAAAGTTGAAGATGTTATGTTTTACATAATTACCAGCCTATTTTTCTGAGATACTGACATCAATCAACTTTCAGGCATCGATATCGCGCACAATTTCTTAGAGAACAACGAGGAAAGGATCATTCATAATCATTAATATTATCCAGGAGGAGGACGACGGTCTCGAAACGGACTGAAAGCATTACCAAAATTCGATCTAGCTCGAAGTGGCACGTCCTATGTTAATATATATTGTTCCAGTCCAGATTTACCATATTGCCTATTTACTACCTCAGAGGCAAACGCGATTAACGCATGATCTTCTGATGGATTGAATCCCTTTGAAAAATAATGATCGCTCAGTTATTACTGTGTACTTGTACCGGATGACGAGCAAGGTGGACGATGGCTATACATATATATATAACGTGATAAAATCTATCCTCTTACGCGACGTATTTCCTTGATCTGACCAATATTGAAACTTGGCTCAATGGCAGCTTAAGCCCAAGTGGTACACACGCAAATAAAGAACATCCAGAATCGGTGCGATGATTTGAGATGTATAATCGGGGCATTTCGAGGAAGCACACGCCTTTCCTATACAGTTATATTGGATGTATATGTCAAAACAAAAAAAAAATCGATTTATGTTCTCTAGCACATGAAAGCCATTTAGAATTTACCTGGATGAAGACTAAATACCTGCTCATCTCGAAGCTAACCGAAAAATTGTAGATAGTAGCGATTTTCTTATTTTATAAAGAGCTAATTTTTATATAAGACGAAATTGCAGAAAATAAGATGGATAGGGATAAATTTTAGCGATGTGTAACTGTAAAAATACATGTAGATCTACTTGCATGAATCACTAGGGCCGGCGGGAGTCATAGTTGCGCACACCAATAATGCTTTAAATATACAGGATGATTTGACAATGAATACAAGTCCATGTTTCGGGTTGTATGTCCAGCATCGCCGTTAGGCATTCCGTCAGACGGTTAACTAGCTCCCAGCAGGAACTAAAATCTATCCATGGCCGGTTTCGAACCCAGATCACAACCCTTCCGTCCCCGTGATAACCTAGATGATGATGCATTTGCGTAAGGTATGTATACCTGATGTACGTAAAGCGTCGCTTACAATTTTCGTGTATTCTATGATAGCAACAGCGCTGCGGATTGTACGCGTCGT